AGTTCACTAACAGATAAATATAAACAAGTTCTCGTACATATAACTATATAATAAATTAATTACTGAAATTAGGAAATTTTACGTTTGTCGGTGACATCCTACATAACTGTGGAGTTCACGTAAACAGTTATAATATAAAGAGTTCACTAACAGATAAATATAAACAAGTTCTCGTACATATAACTATATAATAAATTAATTACTGAAATTAGGAAATTTCCTTTCTAGCTCTGCAGTGAAGGAAACAGAGCTTTAGCTGGGACAAAGAAGAATTTACTTCCTGGGAAAGTTAAACAAAAGATTAATGTGAGTTTAATAATGAATAATATTTATTGCATAACACAAGCATTCACACGAAATGATTCCTAAAGTAATAAAATGAACACACAACCAGTCAAGCATATGGCACAACATCAGCATCCGCAAGTAATTTCACCTTCAGATAATCACTAAAGTGGAAATTGGTCAGTGGCGTCACTGAAACCCCCAATGAGCTGTCCTCACACATGGCCCATCCTCTCATGACGTATGCACCAAAGAACCAATCCTCCATACATGGCCGACCGGTCTAATCCTCACTTGACCAGCCCTCTCATTTTTTTATATTCTCTTTTCTTTCCATACCAACAGGAGGCCACCCCCAACAGGAGGCCACCCTGTGGTTTTCTATATAATCCATATCATCAGATGCACACGGAGGCATCGATCTCCCCATATATGGCTGATGGTATCCAAGACCGCCCTCACAAACCCATGGTGACCCACTTCATCCCAATTCCACACAAACAAGGCAAATAAATGTCACGACACAAATAATCAAACAATGCAATTAAATGCAAGCATAATAAATAATTAAACATTGTCATGGAAAAGCGCAAATAGACATTCATATACCAATTCAAATAAATATAAAAACAAATAATAATAAAAATAAATAAATAATTAATAATAAATAAATAAATAATTAAAGACAAAGCTTTGTATAGAAATGATTTTATATAGGATGCAAATGGTAAATACTATTTATTATTACCTAAATTGCTAAATGGGAAAAACACTCTAACTTTGGGTCCTAACCTGTTGAAGTAGTGAACAAACTAGAGCGGTCTAAACGAAATGGCATTCGAAGGAGAGGAGAGAATTGAATTGAATAAAGTACTCTATTTTAAATATATCGAGTTAAAGAATTATTCTAAATAAATTAATTAATCATTAAATATTAACTAGCATAGATTTTATTAAAATTTTTGGCAGAAACCCCCCTTCCCCCCCCCCCCTTTTTTTAAAAAATAGGACTTTCTACCCCCCCAACCTTTTTTTTTTAAAACCTTTTTAAAAAAAAAGGGGGGGGGGGATTTATTTCAAATACTCTATATATTCAATTCAATCCCAACACAGCCCCATTCATAGCGCAATCAAATCAAATCAAATGCCCATCCTCCTTTAATAAAGTACTCTATTTTAAATATATCGAGTTAAAGAATTATTCTAAATAAGCTTATTAACTTAATCATTAAATATAACTAGCATAGATTTTATTAAAATTTTGGCAGAACCTCCCCTAAAAATAGGACTTTCTACCTACTAAGATAATTTCAAATACTCTATATATTCATTCAATCCACACAGCCCATCCATCAGGCAATCAATCAAATCAAATGCCCATCCTCCTTTACACGACAATACCAACAATTAACGATTATCATTTATTACTCTTAGTCAACAAACTCACTTTCGAAAACCTTAAACTCAATATTAAAAGCCATAGTTCAAGAGATTAACAAAATACAAGTTGCCATTCATTAGAAATCCTAGATTCTACCTCAAACTTATAGCCCAGAGTCTGGCAAATTCATTAATCAATAAGGAATTCATAAAATATACTAATATTGGTTGGAAATTAATTACCTAGCTACACGACACGTTGAAAATTAAATAATTTATTCATAACAATTATTCTAAATGACTTGAATTCTAAATTTTTAGAATTAAGTGTATTTATCTATCGAGGTTCCCTAATAAGAATCGTATTCGATTAATTGTTTAATCGCAATCAACTTATAGTTTAAATTTAGAGTTTATACCAAAAATGAGGAACTAGGTCTTTGAGCGTACCAATCGAAAATCAAACTACGATTCCACGATCAGCGTGAGGAGAAGATGATTCTACCTCTTAGGGCCTTACCGGACTACTGTCGCCGGCCATCGTGCGCGGTGGTCGAAAAATCCAACTCGAAGCCTCAAGTCGCCGGAAACGGCGTGAATGGCCGGAAAACGATGCTGCGACAGTGTCGAATCTTTCCAGCGAGTTTTCTCTTGATTCGGGCTCAAATCACACAAAACAAGGCTTGAATCAAACTTCTTGCAATGAGTAGATGGCTTTAGAGTGTTTATTCATCAAAAATGGTGGCCGGAGAACGAAAGAAAGGGAGGGGGAGGAGGTTCGCGATTGGGGAGAAGGGGAATGGGGGTGGGGATTTTTTTTGGTATATTTAGGTTTTCTAGTATTTTCTCATTGGTTGATGAGGTTTAGATTGATTCGAGTCTGGTTTGGCTCAAATCATGGTTTTAGCTTGGTTTTTCAATTGATTTATGGGTTTTTCAATGGTTTAGTTTTGTTTAGGATTTGGTTTAACAAATATAAAAATATATTTACAATAAATTTGTTAAATAAATTCACAATACATTAATTTTATTTTTTTTAAATTTAATAATGTCCTATAATATGATTGGTTAGAATTTATATTTAAATTTTTAAATGAAAAACTTTTGAAAAAAGTTTTCTGGGTCGTTTCAAAAACCCATACTTCCTAAGAAGAGCATTGAATTGGTAATTGCAAAAATGCTTACCACCATCACTTATTATGGTTCTAGGGGTACCATATCTAGTAAAAATATTATGCCTAAAAAATTAAGGAACAATGTTCGAGTTATTAGTTTTAGTAGCCATTACTTCTACCCATTTTGACGCATAATCAATAGCTACTAAGATATACTCATTCCTATAAGATGATGGGAACAGACCCATGCAATCGATGCCCTATACATAAAAAATCTCATAAACAAGATTATTATTAAGAGGCATCTCATCTCTTTTAGAGATGTTACCAGTACACTCGCATCTTTTTATGAGGACACATAATTTCTAGCATCATGAAAAAGAATAAGCTAGAAAAAACCTGATTCTAACACCTTAGCTACAGCTCTATTAGATCCAAAGTGTCCACCAGCTTCTCTATCATGGCAATGACTTAAAATTGCTTGAAATTCCTGCTCGGGTACACATTTTCTATTGACTTGGTCCGAGCATAGCTTGTATATGCAAGGATCTTCCCAAAAGTAATGCTTCACATCAGCTAAAAATTTCTTTCTTTATTCAAATGAGAATTCTTTTGATATCCAACCACCTGCAAGATAATTTGCTATGTTAGCAAACTAAGGCTCTATTGAAGAAATAGAAAATACAACAGAAATCCTCTCATCAGGAAAAAATTCAGAGATAATTTCTCCATTATTAGAGGGTTGGTTATCCAATCTGGATAAATGATTAGCAATTAAGTTCTCTGTTTTCTTTTTATCCCTGATTTCCAAATCAAACTCTTGTAACAATAGCACCCAATGAATCAACCTTGCTTGGAGTCCCTTTTGGCAAAAGGATGTCTAAGTGCTGCATTGTTAGTATAAACAATAGTTTTTTACCCTATTAAATAAGATCTAAACTTCTCAAAAGCATACACAATTGCTAAAAATTCCTTCTCAATAGTTATGTAATTCAATTGGGGGTCTGTAAGGGTATGACTTGCATGGTAAATCACTCTGAACACTTTCTCTTTCCTTTGGCCCAAAACTGCTCCTAGTGCATACTCACTAGCATCACACATTACTTCAAAAGGACTATTCCAATCTGGTGCCACTATCACATGTGCTGAAATCAATTTCTCCTTCAGAAGATTGAAAGCCTGCATACATTCAGAATAAAAACCAAACTTAGTACCTTTCACAAGCAAATTACAAAGGGGTTTTGCAATCTTGGGTAAAACCCCGCATGGCCCAGGAAACTCCTAACTCCTTTAAGTATTATTGGAGGTGGTAATTTTTCAATCACTTCCACCTTTGCCTTGTCCACCTCAATACCTTTTTTCGAAATCTTATGCCCAAGTAGTATCCCTTCATTCACCATAAAATGGCATTTCTCCCGGTTAAGCATCGGATTTGTTTCTGTACAACTTTGCAATACTAAGGAAAGATTATGCAAGCAAGATTCAAAGGTTAGTCCATAGATAGTAAAATCATCCATAAAAATTTTCATGCATTTCTCAATCATGTCATCAAAGATGGACATCATACACCACTGAAACGTAGCTAGTGCATTACACAACCCAAAAGGCATGCGCTTATAGGCAAATGTGCCATAAGGACACGTGAAGGTTGTTTTTTCTTGACCTGCAGGGGCTATTGGGATCTGGAAATAACAAGAGAATCCATTCGAAAAGCAATAAAATCTATTCCCTACTAGCTTCTCTAACATATGATCAATAAAAGGTAAGGGAAAGTGATCCTTCCTAGTGGCTGAATTAAGTTTTCTATAGTTGATGCATACTCTCTACCCTGTCATTATCCTAGTGGGAATTAATTCATTATTCTCATTTTTGCTACAGTTATTCCCCCCTTCTTAGGAACTACCTGAACTGGACTCACCTATGCACTATCAGAAATTCGATAAATAATAGCTGCATCAAGTAGCTTTATCACTTCCTTCTTTACTACCTCTTGCATAACTGGATTCAACCTCCTTTGTGGTTGAATAGTGGGCTTGTAATCATCTTCCATTAAAATCTTATGTATACAAATATTTGTACTTATCCCTTTGATGTTCGAAATCTTCCATCCAATTGCTCCCTTCCACTTCTATAAGACCTTAATCACCTATTGCTCCTCTTTCTTTGTCAAAAATGCAGAAATGATCACTGGGTTAGTGTCATTTTCAAGAAAAACACATTTCAAGTGAGAAGGTAAGGTTTAAGTTCAAGTTTAGAAGATTCTTCAAAATAATCTTTTGAAACTTCTTTTTCATCAATTTCCAAAGGAAGTGGAGATTCATTCTCCATCTTTTCTTCAATATCTTCACTAAGCAAATCCTTATCTTGTTATTCACATGCTAAAGCCAAGCATTGCTCTATTTTTAGCTCCACAACATCCTTTAACAAGATTTCCTACTTACATTCATCAAGGCAATCATCAATATAATCAATGAAAAAACACTTATCATTTTCAAGAAAATTAGGATGTTTCATAGCTTTCTTGATATCAAAGACTATCTCTTCATCATTCAACCTCAGTGTAAGTTTTCCCTCTTTAACATCTGTTAGTGCACCAATTGTGACTAAAAATGTCCTTTCGAGAATCAGAGGAGTTATTCTATCAACTTTCATATCCAACACTACAAAATCAATGGGGAAGATAAATTCCCCAACTTTCACCAAAAGATCTTCAATAACCCCAATCGGTCTTTTGATGGAGCCATCAGCTAGTTGTAGTGTCATGCTCGTTTCTTTCAACTCTCTAAGATTTAAGTCCTTGCACAAAGAAAAAGGCATTTATACTGGCACCTGAATCACACAATGCCTTCTTAAATTCAGCATCACCTATATCACAAGGAATGGTAAAACTCCCTGGATCCTTAAACTTAGTAGGTAACTTATTTTGCACAATGGCATTGCACTCTTCAATTAAAATGATAGTGCTACAGTTATCCATCTTCCTCTTATTAGAAAGGATATCCTTAAGAAACTTTGCATATTTAGGCATTTGTGTTAAAGCCTCACAAAAAGGAATACTAATATAAATTTTCTGAAAGATCTGTAAGAATTTAGAAAATTGAGAATCTAATTTATCCATTCTAATTTTTTCAGGATATGGAAATTTCTTCAAATCCAAATTGGATGTAGAAAGAGTATTAGAAGTCATACCTTTCTTTTCAGCATTCAAATCCTTACTTACCTCTTGGTTACTTGCTTTCTCATCTATTACTCCATGGCAATGCACTTAATAATTCCACAGATATGACTACTCCCATGGTTAGCATGCATCGACTTGACACAGACCCAAGAAAGATATTTTCCTATGCAGATTTGACACCTGGACCCTCAATTGACCCAGGACCATCAACTGGACCACCTGGCCCGCTTGGCTCAGAGTTTCAAGATTCTCAATTACCTGACACTCCAATGACATCTCAATAGATTGAAGCACTCCTTCCAAGAAGATCACCACGAATTCAACAGATGCACTTGCAACGTCCTCCTCCTGACATTGATGATGTTCCTGAATATGATCCTGAAGGCATTTGGTTAAAGCCTCACAAAAAGGAAATACTAATATAAATTTTCTGAAAAGGGATCTGTAAGAATTTAGAAAATTGAGAATCTAGATTTATCCATTCTAAATTTTCCAGGATATTCGGAAATTTCTTCAAAATCCAAATTGGATGTAGAAGAGTTTAAGAAGTTCATTACCTTTCTTTCAGCATTCAACATCCTTACTTAACCTTCTGGGCGTCACCTTGCTTTCTTTTCATCTATACTCCATGGCAATGCACTTAATAATTCCACAGATTAGACTACTCCGATGGTTTAGCAATTGCATTCGACCTTGACACAGGACCCAAGAAAGATATTCTTCCATATGCAGATTTGACACCTGGACCATCAAATTGCCCAGGACCATCAACTGGACCACCTGGCCCGCTGGACTCAGGTTTCAAGATTCTCCAATTTACCTGACAACTCCAATGACATCTCATAGATTGAAGCACTCCTTCCCAGAAAGATCACCAGAAGATCACCACGAATTCAACAGATGCACTTGCAACGTCCTCCTCCTGACATTGATGATGTTCCTGAATATGATCCTGAAGACGATCATAACACGTGGATTGCTGGTAATACCAAACGACCACGCTTGACCTATGATCACACTTTTTCTGATGACTCAGATGAAGACTATTCCGAACATGAACCCATCAACAAAAGTCCCTGGGTCTAAAAGTGGATGATGATGCGTCCCATCCTTGTCCCCTTTCCCTTTTGTAATCATGGTGATTTGTTTGTCTTTTCCTTTTGTCTTGTTGTCATAATGTATTGTAATAATGTTGTGTGGCACTATCGTGGGTCCTCCCCATAATTATGTCTAGGATAAGATTCCTTTGCATTATTATGTTACCCTTTGCATTATTATGTTAGAAGATAAGGTTAGAAGATAAGATTGCCACGTGGCTTGTCACGATTGGCCCTCTAGATTACTTAAGATAAGGTTAGATAAGGATGCCACATGGGATCTTCTCATTGGCTCTTTAAGATTACATAGATAAGGCTCTTTGCCTATAAATATGTAAGCTCTCTTCCTTGTAAGATATAAGAAAACTTTCATAAATACAATCTAGTGTGTTTTCTCTCTATGGCATTCTAAATCTTCTCCTTTCTCCTTTCTGAAAATAGTTGCTGTGCTAAGTAGTTTTCTCCATTAATGCAAAGATCCTAGTCTCCGATCTGTACCCCCTTGATCCCTTGTCTCCGATCTGTACCCCCTACCTGTTATGCTGGTTCAGTGTTCTAAAGACCTCAAACGGCCTGTTATTGCCATGGATGGCTTGAGTGGCTGTACGGTTGTGAACTTCTGAACAGTGTTCCAGGCAGGGAGGACAGCTCTCGGCCGCCCTGGTATCAAAGCCTAAAGCCTGAAAACCACTTTGCTACAATAACTATTGGAAGAAGGAGATCTACAGTACCCATGGAAACAGTAACCAACAATCCTATTGTACAAACCTCCTCTCTACAACTCCCACCTACTTATAAACAGTACCTTACTGATAAAATAAATAACCTCGTAGAAATATCCCATATCCCTGAGTCCGCTCAGATCCAAAATTCCCTTGTACCTATCCTCAACCCTTATGTTGTGTTTAAACGTAGTTCGTCCCTCTCCCATCACCTCCGTCAGATTATTAGTCGTCCCTCTGTTAATATTAAAGAGTATGTTCAATCTTCCTCTCTCTCTCAGTGTGTTTTGTCTTCTACACCTGCAGAACAGTATGTTACTTTGGAGATTCCTGACTCATTCATCTCCCAGTGGAAACGACAAAGATATACTCACATCCACTTTGGAGCCATCCGTCTTGTCCTTTCTTACCATGGCTGACAAGGCTTACCTGTTACTGCTCGCTTGTCTCTACTAGATACTCGTTATCTTCAATATGAACATGTTGTAATTGGTACTATTGCTACTACCCTCAATGCTGGTAGCATAGTCCTCACTTTCTTCCCCAATTTCAACATGTCTCTTGAAGATCCACACTTGAGTACTGCTCTAAAGGTTCAAGTACAGATCACTGGTGCTGATCAAGTGCTGATCAAGTGTCCTGAAACCATGCGCGCGCACTTTAGCACCACGCAAATTTGTGCTACAGAGCTTCCAAGATCATTGCTATTTAATTTGCCAGACACCTGGCATGCTTCACCAAGTGATGCTTTGCCTACCGTCGTGGCTGACTGGTGTCGCTACCCCACCAAAAGACGGCAGATCGAGTGCGGTCTATATAACGCGCATGAGAGGTGAGATTGCTAATCGTAAATGGCATAGATAACCTGGGGCATGCACTCTCTAGACAATCGCATAAATTCAGTCTTGAGTAATTAACAAGGGAACAGATACTCAGTGGTCTAGTCCTCACTTTCTTCCCCAATTTCAACATGTCTCTTGAAGATCCACACTTGAGTACTGCTCTAAAGGTTCAAGTACAGATCACTGGTGCTGATCAAGTTCCTGAAACCATCTCTGCCACTTTACACCACCAAATTGTCTACAGACTTCAAGATCATGCTATTAATTTGCAGACACCTGGCATCTTTCACAGTGATGCTTTGTACGTCTTTGCTGATGGTGGTCCTACTCCCACAATTGTCCAAACTCCTAGGCAACTGACTAGAGAAGAGCTTGAAAAACTCATTCCCTCTGCTTGGATCATTAATTATGAGAAGCTCCATCAACTGCCTCAACCTGTTCAACAACAGGATCCTATCTTTGTCCACCAACTAGATAAATCTGTCCGGATTTCATTTCTCCCATCCAGTTCTGAACCAAGACACTCTGTCTCCATGATTCAGCCAGTTAAGAGCAAACCACTTAAACATGCTCCCATCCATAGTTTTGCCCATACTGGTAAACAGATCTATGCTGCCAAAAACGATGGTCACTTCCTTTGGGATGCTGATCCCCACATGTGTGACCCTGACTGTCCTTGTAAATATGAAGATGATGGTTGGCTTGAAGATGCCACAGTTACCATCATTACGATAGAATCTCAACCTCTCCTCCGAAAAACTCGCTCTTGCCGTCCTTTGGCTCAAAAGCATCCTTTTGATGATGATGAGGATGCTCCTCCTCCATGGATTGGTTTGCCTAAAGATAAAAATAAACCCATGACTGAAGATGAGTACCTTAAACGTTGTTTTGAGATTCTTGCTGAAGAAGGACTCCTCAAATGCCCTCCACCTCCTACTATTTGTTCTTGCTCCTTGGAAGCATATCAGACACCTGCTGCTTCAACCGCTCCCTTGTCTTGTTGCATGCTGCAACCTGAAGACTTTCCTCCCCTTGAAACAATCCGTGACTCCACTTCCAGAGTAACAGCCAGTCCTTATGTCCGACAAACTGTTGTTCACTCCACTGGCAACCTCCAGCCTATATCCCCTTCAGAAGAAGTTCTCAACTGGCAAACTCAACTGGCAGACTGTCTAATTGCTGTTGTCCGAAACCAGACTCAAACTGTTGTTCACTCCACTGGCAACCTCCAGCCTATATCCCCTTCAGAAGAAGTTCTCAACTGGCAAACTTCTAATGCTGTTGTCCAAAACAACTATCTCAGAAACATTGATGGCAAACTAAATCAAGCTTTGAAAAAGAATGATCATTTGGCTTCTTCTGTCTCTTCCTTCCGTCAGGAAGCTCAGCAAATGCATGATGATCTTCTACGATGAATTTCCAAGCTTGATAAAGAACTCAACTTTCTCATTGAAACTAATCCATCCTCTCCTTTGTTTAATGAGAAAGAAAGAGAAATTCACCAGCTTCGCCGATAAGTGGAAGAAATTGAAAGAGATAGAACCTTACAACCTCCTGTTCCTCCGTCTTCTTTCCCTTTTGATTATGCATTACCTCCACCACTATTTACTCCCTCTCCAGCTCCTATAAAAATGTTCCCTTCAATTGCTGATCTTATACCTAGGGAACCTCCCAAACCTCAAAGATGACCTTCCTCATCTTCTTTGCCTTCTACCTCTTCTTCACAAACAAGTTTTGTCCCTCCTTCAGAATCCAAAGACAAAGGTCCTGCCTTTCAACAGTTTATGGCCACTCCTGCCTCTGGTTCTTCAAGTGAAGTTGATGAGTCTTTCTCTACTACATCCTCCTCTTCTTCCTTCTCCCTAACTATCCCACAAGTACTAATGAATGAACCTCCGCCAATGGAACCTAAAGTTGAACATCC